TGGCTTCTGCTTCAACTTGGTGAGATTATTTTAATTTTCACAACCATTAAGCAACTTTGGTAAAGGGAAGGGAATTTTTAAAATCTCATGCCTTCCACTGGCAATGAAAGAAGGGAAGAGGTGGGCATGGCTAATTACAGCCATCTTTAACTGTAGTTGTGAAGGCCCCAGTGGTAGAGATTGCAAAAAGCCCTGTGTTGCACTCCAGGTCGCAAAGAAGCCCTCTGACGTTAAAGACACCACACGAAGAGTGAAGAAACAAATCTTCTTTTATTGAAGCTTAGTAAATAGCCAAAAGAAATAAATGCTTGTAAGAAAATCAAAAGGTTCCAAAAAGTAATTAGTCCATAAAAAGTAGTAACACAAAGCAATGCCCACACAAGAAATAAAAGCAATCTGAGACAGCAATAATCCAGCCAGGAATCAAGCAGGATGCAAAGACAATCCAAAAGGCTAAAAAAAAACTCCACAGAAACAAGACTCCTTGAACAAGACTTCCATGGCACAAGAACTTGATTTCCAAACGATGCCTGATCTGACAGGTTTTCCCTTGAAACAAACTTTATATCCCAAAACTCAGAAATTGGTTTCATCCCCCCCCCCCCCCACATTTTCCCTTTATCAGACGCAGCCTTTCATGGCAATGTAAATACTGAGTTTGCTGTCGCTCCTGGCTAATCTCCAGCCGCCTATTCTTCAGCTCCCTATTCTGGCTGCTCATTAAAATTCCCAGGTGTCAGATTGTTTTCCAAACCCAAATCTTGATAGCTCACAGAGAGAGGGAGTGAATTATCATTGCTAGGCCCAGGGATATTCTCATGAGAAACTGCCCTTTGCACTGGGGCCTCTCTGTCATTGTCTGCATTAAAATCACTGACCAAACCATCTGCATCTTGTACCTCAGCCTCGGCAACATCATCTCCCTCATCATTTCCCACATCAGGATCCTGAAACACAAACACAGGCTGATCCCCAACACTCTGCTGTTAAACTACTTCTCCCACAATGCTCGCCTGCTCATTAGCCTAAATGGCTGAATGACCCAAAAATAGCTGTCTGTAGCAGTCTTTGTTTAAATATAAAATAAACTGATTGAATCTACAAAGGTGTCTAAAGAAGGCAGCAAAGCAATAAGCAACTTTTGCAAAGCCAAGAGAGCATAAACTGCTTAAAAACCAATCATTTTACTTTTGCCTGATTGCCATGAACAAGGCACTGTGGTAGCCAGCCACAGCCAGTCAGCCCGCCAGATTAGAGAGATGAGTGGCCAAAACTAACAATATGAAGTTCAACAGCGACAAATGCAAGAGACTCCACTTAGGCAGAAAAAATGAAATGCAAAGATACAGAATAGGGGACGATGCCTGGCTCGAGAGCAGTACGTGTGAAAAAGATCTTGGAGTCCTCATGGACAACAAGTTAAACATGAGCCAACAATGTGATGTGGCGGCAAAAAAAGCCAATGGGATTTTGGCCTGCATCAGTAGGAGCATAGTGTCTAGATCTAGGGAAGTCATGCTCCCCATGCTCTATTCCGCCTTGGTTAGACCACACCTGGAATACTGTGTCCAATTCTGGGCACCACAATTGAAGAGAGATATTGACAAGCTGGAATGTGTCCAGAGAAGGGCGACTAAAATGATCAAGGGTCTGGAGAACAAGCCCTATGAGGAGCGGCTTAAGGGCTGGGCATGTTTAGCTTGAAGAAGAGAAGGCTGAGAGGAGATATGATAGCCATGTATAAATATGTGAGAGGAAGTCACAGGGAGGAGAGACGCGGAACAATGGCTTCAAACTACAGGAAAGGAGATTCCATCTGAACTTGAGGAAGAACTTCCTGACTGTGAGAACCGTTCAGCAGTGGAACTCTCTGCCCTGGAGTGTGGTGGAGACTCCTTCTTTGGAGGTTTTTAAACAAGCTAGATGGCCATCTGTCAGGGGTGCTTTGAATGCAATATTCCTGCTTCTTGGCAGAATGGGGTTGGACTGGATGGCCCATAAGGTCTCTTCCAACTCTATGATTCTATGATTGTATAAGGGGAGATATGTCCACCACATATGGTAATATGTACCTTCATGTACTTTACACTTCCAGCACTTATTATCCCTGTTTTTGTACATCATTGCGAATTTTTTAGGTGTAGTATACCACCTATGTAGTAGGCTTGGGTAACCACGGAAAAATTTGGTTCTAAACTCGTTTTGTTTTTAGGGGGCCCTTGCGTTTTTTTGTTTTTTTAATAATTCGAAATTTTCCTTTTAAAATTTTTGAAATATACGAAATTTCGTAAAATTACGAATCAATTCGTTAATGGCGGACGCGATTGCGCAATATGCTAAAAAAACCTCCAAATGGGACAGGGGGAACTTCTGAAGCTTCCCTCTCCCTCTGTTGTTGACTGTTGGTGTGATAAAACAAACAACAACTATAAAACTTGCACCAGACATGCGAAAATAATTACGAAATAATTACGAAATAATTACGAAATAATTACAAAATAATTACGAAATAAATTGAAAAAATTGTTTCGAATCTAATTTACTCCTCACACTATTCCTGCATGGCTCAATATTGGATCGTAAGCTAATTTAAATACGAATTAATAACGAATTACGAAATTAACGAACGAAACCGCCCAAGCCTACTATGTAGCATTTTTAACCAATTTTCCTTAAGATCAATGTAAATACTAGGCATGTGCAATCCATGCTTCTAAATGGTTCTTAAGTACTTACAAAACTAAAGTTCTGGTGGTGAAAACTAGGGGGCGCTGGTGCTTTGTTTCTACAGTTGCTAAAGTTCTGGTGGTGAAAATTTCAGAACTCTAACAAAACTTTCAAAATTTCATTATAAATGGCAGTTCCTAATTGGTACTGTCATAAAAATAATCAATAATGAAATAATAATGAAATTTTGAAACTTTTGTTAGAGTTCTGAAATTTTAGTCACCAGAACTTTAGCAACACCAGAAGCAAAGCACCAGCGCGCCCTAGTTTTCACCACCAGAACTTTAGTTTTGTAAGTACTTTAGAACCATTTAGAAGCATGGATTGCACATGCCTAGTAAATACATAAATCTTTGGTTCACGTAAGAAAGCTTGTAATGACATCCCGATTCTGTAGAAGAGATCTTTTAAAGAACAGACTAAAACTTTATAAATTCAACCACATCTAAAAAACTAGAGCTGATGCGGTTTATCCAATGTGTTTTTCTTGATGAGCACCCCAAATAACCCCAGAAACTGGTGTATGATTTTGCTTTATCGTCTTTGTATTCACATGTTGTATGTATTTTACTGTGTTGTTATTGTTGTTATTGTGTTTTGGTTTTACTTTATTGTAATATGCTGTTGGGGAGATGGGCGGGGTATTAAATAAAGATTATTATTGTTGTTGTTGTTGTTGTTGTTTGTTGTTCATTCGTTCAGTCATCTCCGACTCTTCGTGACCTCATGGACCAGACCATGCCAGACCTCCCTGTCGGCCGTCACCACCCCCAGCTCCTTCAAGGTCAGTCCAGTCACTTCAAGGATGCCATCCATCTATCTTGCCCTTGGTCGGCCCCTCTTCCTTTTGCCTTCCACTTTCCCCAGCATAATTGTCTTCTCTAGGCTTTCCTGTCTCCTCATGATGTGGCCAAAGTACTTCAACTTTGTCTCTAGTATCCTTCCCTCCAATGAGCAATCGGGCTTTCTTTCCTGGAGGATGGACTGGTTGGATCTTCTCGCAGTCCAAGGCACTCTCAGAACTTTCCTCCAACACCACAGCTCAAAAGCATCGATCTTCCTTCGCTCAGCCTTCCCTAAGGTCCAGCTCTCACATCCGTATGTGACTACAGGGAAGACCATGGCTTGGACTAGGCAATGGATCTTTGTTGCCAGTCTGATGTCTCTACTCTTTACTATTTTATCGAGACTGGACATTGCTCTCCTCCCAAGAAGGAAGCGTCTTCTGATTTCCTGGCCACAGTCTGCATCTGCACTCATCTTTGCACCTAGAAATACAAACCCTGTCACGGCCTCCACATTTTCTCCCTCTATTTCCCAGTTGTCAATCATTCTTGTTGCCATAATCTTGGTTTTTTTGATGTTTAGCTGCAACCTGGCTTTTGCGCTTTCTTCTTTCACCTTGATTAGAAGGCTCCTCAGCTCCTCCTCGCTTTCGGCCATCAGAGTGGTGTCATCTGCATATCTGAGGTTGTTAATGTTTCTTCCAGCAATTTTCACCCCAGCTTGGTATTCATCAAGCCCCGCACATCCATCGCATGATGTGTTCTGCATACAGTTAAAAAGGTTGGGTGAGAGTATGCAGCCTTGCCGTACGCCTTTCCCAATCTTGAACCAGTCTGTTGTTCCGTGGTCAGTTCTTACTGTTGCTACTTGGTCCTTGTACAGATTCCTCAGGAGAGAGACAAGGTGGCTTGGGATGCCCATCCCACTAAGAACTTGCCACAATTTATTATGATCCCCACAGTCAAAGGCTTTAGAATAGTCAATGAAGCAGAAGTAGATGTTTTTCTGAAACTCCCTGCCTTTCTCCATTATCCAGCGGATATTGGCAATCTGGTCTCTCGTTCCTCTGCCTTTTCTAAACCCAGCTTGAACATCTGGCAACTCTCGCTCCATGTATTGCTGGAGTCTTCCTTGCAGGATCTTGAGCATTACCTTCCTGGCATGAGAAATAAGGGCCACTGTACGGAAGTTTGAGCAGTCTTTCGCATTTCCCTTTTTTGGTATGGGGATATTAGTTTTATTAAAAGCCAAAACACCAGGAAAAAGACATTTTGGAAGGCTGTGTAATTTCCAGTGAAAGAATACCTGCTTGACCAGCAGATGAAGTTCATGGTTCAAAATACAAGCTTTGAAGTTGCACATAGCTCTCCTTTATACCTGTCTGCTAAAGATAAGTCCTGATTGGCTGCCCACCACAGCCAATCACAAAGAAGCAGAAGGTTAATGAGAAGGGTTCTGGAATAGACGGCCTCACAAAGAAAAGGGGTTGAAACTCCAGAAGGAGGAAACACCAGAAGGAAGAAACACAGCCAAGGAGAAGATAAGGTGAGACCGACTGTCTGTGGTTTCTTAATGAAATGCAATGCTGATGGGGGGAATGGCTCCTCCTCTGCGCCTTCTGAGTTAGCCTTCTGCATCCAAAGCAGTGGTGCCCAACTGTTGGTCCTCCAGCTGTTTGAGACTTCAACTCTCAGAAGTCCAGCACAACTCGACCAAGAGTCAGGAATTCTGGGAGCTGAAGTCTGTTGGAGCTTAGCCTGTGATTGTGTTTAAGGATCAGGGTACTTTGGATGTGGGGAATGATGACAATGAGGTTCATGAAGGTAATGGTGTTTCTGTCAGGATTATTGAGGTATGCATGTGTATGTTTTTCAATGTGATTCTATGTAATTCAAGATGGATTAAGATGTAATTCAAGATGGATTCTGTTGTGTTCAATTGTGTATGAGAACTACTGTGAGAGGCAAAGAAGCAGAGAAAAAGTAACCTTGACTGAAGTGAGATAACACGTTCTCTGGCTGGGAAGAAATAGGGAGGACCCGGTTGCAGCTAGAGAAGTCTGATAAGCAGATGGTCTGAAACTGTTTATGCTGTGCTTTGTAGTTCCTGATGAGTGCCCGCTTAGAATAGACGTGTGTAGATGTACTGAGTAAACTTTGTGTTATTTTGAAACTGTAAGACTGCAGAGTCCTGAATTTTTGGAGTCTTGTGTCTGTTGATCTAGCAACCTCTTCCGCTGCGCATACACCCCCAAATTTTACTCTGACAGTTTCCAATGATATTGAGGCAGAGAATGACCAGGAGATCCCTGTTCAAAGTGTAGTTTCTCATGAGAATATTCCTGAAGGGAGTGGGGATGATGGTGTGTTCCCTGAATCGCTACTAGAGAATTCCCATGATTTGGAGCCTGAGGACAGCTCGGCACCTGGCCCAGCTGCAGAAATTAATGAGCAAATAGATAGACAGGATGTTATTAGTCAAAATAGAACAGCAGATTAGTCTCTCAGGCATTCTGCCAGGCTCAAAGAAAGAATGATAAGGGATTCAAGGCTAAAACGAAACTCATTTCTGGCCACTTGGGACATAGCATAATGAGGAGATAAAAGTCCCAAGGATCTGTAATCAGATGAAGCATCGTTTGGAATCAAGTCAAGACCTCGTTCCTGTTTCTTGGAAGCTTTGCTTTGCAAAGAATCATGTGATAAGTGCCTTTGGATTCATATTTCCAGTTTTTGGATATTACTATAGAAGTTTGTATTGAGGGGTGTCGTTGATCTCAACACATACAAGGCATTAAGACACATCTTCTGGTCTATCAAAACCTAGTTTATTTAAAACGAAACTAAACACACTAAAAACTAAGCAGAATGAGAAAACAAAACGGCAACATTGCTCCGGCCGATCATTGCAAACCACTTCAGGCTTCAGACTGTTCACTCCCACATTCTTTGGAGATGTGATGACACAAAATGACGTAAGACGTAGCACAGCGCTCTCCGCACTGAAATTTATGACTCCTCCTTCACGATACAGTTAACTTTTTCCACACAGGAATTACATCTCGACACATTGCAAATCACAGCATTACATTTCTAAGCACATAATCACTAACTTTGAAAACTACGAAGCACAGTTCAAAACACATACAAACTCTGACAGTTTCTGCCTTTGTTTTTCATGAATTTTGTTTTTCATGAACTTATCTTCCTACCTAATTAGATTTACTTATTCCTTTACAGTGCTTTTTACTATTACTGCTTTTTCATTATCTGCAATAAACGGATTGCATTTCTACTCAACTGTGTGGTGTTTAAAGTCAGAGGGCTTCTCCTGGTCTGGAGTGAAACCAAGTCCAAGACACCCAGAGGACCAAACATTGGGAACCCCTGGGGTAGGGCAATGATCAATGGTCAAGAATAGCATTCAACCGATTCCCTTTTAACCTGTAGGACAAAAATGGTGGCATGGAGTTCTGATCCTCAAGGTTGTTTGGACTTCAACTTCCAGGTGCTTCCAGAAGTAGAGTGTTTTATGAAGCCTTTGAAATATGAATATTATTTCTTGACCAATGTACATTTAGAGTCTCCTTATTTGCTACTAATTCCATATTTCATGCCCAACAATTTAGAGAGTATCCATGGAAAACACCTTGCTTACTTACTTACTTACTTACTTACTTACTTACTTACTTACTTAAGTGATCCCTCGCTGTCTGAGTAGGATAATCCTCCAGGATGCGTACGTAGGTGACTATGAAGCCCTATGCTTGCTCTGCATCGTCTCCTGCAATGAGGGCATTGGTTTCCAGGTGGAAGGCGGTCCTGGTCGGGGTTGGCTTGACGCGCCTTCCTCTTGGCACGCTTCTCCCTTTCGCCCTCCATTCGTGCCTCTTCAAATTCTGCAGCACTGCTGGTCACAGCTGAACTCCAGCTGGAGAGTTCACAGGCCAGGGCTTCCCAGAGTTTATTCTTGGGTTAAACATTCGGCACAGAACATGCTTTAGTTCCATCTTAACCTCAGTCTAGAGATAGCTATTTGACAATATAATCTCATTTTCATTTTGCAAACAGATCACACCATGAAACATTACTAACAGCGAAGAAGCAAAAATGGCACCTAAAAAAGCTCCAGCGGACAAGGAAGGTTTGTTCCTTCTACCTATGTGTTGTCTTTGCAGGATTACAGGTGTATAATAGCCCTTTGCTTGCACTTTGGAGTCCAAAACAGTATTTCTGGATATTCAAGTAAGGTTTTAATTCTTTGCAATACCAGAAATCTGGGGATAGAAGAACCATTTCATTGGAGGAAAGCACAAAAATCTTATTTGTGTTAATGCCATCATTTTGTTGCTCCCACCAAAGTTACATCCCTACTAGCGACAATGGGAGTCCCTGGTTGTGTAATGGGTTAAACCCTTGTTGTGCCGTCACACCCAGACCCTATAAAGATAAACTCAGATGTGCTTCTCTCTTTGTCTGGACGGACCGCGGGGGTCTTTCTTTAGAAGCTTGAGATTTCCAGCAACTGAGGCTACTACAGCCTTTGAACATCAAAACAGAATATTTATTTTTTCAAAGTCCTTGCAGACTTGGCACAGCTTGTTAAAGTTACAAACAAAACAGTCAATTGATGAAACAATAGAGATGATCTTTCCTTTCCTTTCCTTCAGTTACTGAGGTAACTTTTTCCCAAAAGGCAGAAGAAAATCTTGGGACCTTTTCACCCTAACCCTGAGCTGCTATGGTTAGAAAAAAAGCAGTTTTTTCCCTATATATAGCTCAAGGTTAGCTTTGGAGATGAAGCAACAATAATACTCAATGACTCAATATCTATTTATAACTCAATTGCTCAATCACTCAATTTCTATTCTATCTATCTATCTATCTATCTATCTATCTATCTATCTATCTATCTCAATTCTATCTATCTATTCTATCTATCTATCTATCTATCTATCTATCTATCTCAATTAGAGCAATGGGAGGAGAGCAAGTTCTAAAATACATATAAATAGTAAAGAGTAGAGATATCACACTGGCAACGAAGATCCGCATAGTCAAAGCCATGGTATTCCCTGTAGTCACCTATGGATGTGAGAGCTGGACCTTAGGGAAGGCTGAGCAAAGGAAGATAGATGCTTTTGAACTGTGGTGTTGGAGGAAAGTTCTGAGAGTGCCTTGGACCGCGAGAAGATCCAACCAGTCCATACTTCAGGAAATAAAGCCCGACTGCTCATTGGAGGGAAGGATAGTAGAGGCAAAGATGAAGTACTTTGGCCACATCATGAGGAGACAGGAAAGCTTAGAGAAGACAATGATGCTGGGGAAAATGGAAGGAAAAAGGAAGAGGGGCTGACCAAAGGCAAGATGGATGGATGGTATCCTTGAAATGACTGGCTTGACTTTGAAGGAGCTGGGTGTGGTCACAGCTGACAGGAAGCTCTGGCGTGGGCTGGTCCATGAGGTCACGAAGAGTCGGAGACGACTGAACGAATAAACAACAACAAAATCTCAATTAGCTTCTTAATCTATATGACTCAATAGCTTCTCTATCTAAATAACTCAATCTATAGTATCTCAATCTCAATCTTCCTACCTAGTTCTCAATCAGTATCTATGTCTTAATCTCAATCATTCTTATAATGGTTTTTTCAGAGTTACCTGCCTGACCAACAGCGCATCTGAAGCTTTATTTTCCTACTGAAGGAGGCAGGGGAGATTTCCAAAATGGAGATCTCAACCCAGGGAAAAGGGTGGCCCCTAGACCCAAAGAGATACTTTCTGAACCAATAGCTGCAAAAGGGGCCTGCAGGATGGCTTTCTAGCCTCTAATGCTGTTACCTTTCTGAGTGCAGCTGAGATTGTAGCAGCCCTGGGGAAATGCAAAGGAACACTATCCCATGCAATTAAAAGGTAATGCAAACTATGCTCCTGGAAGACAGAACACTTGTGCTGGTAGATGGTCAATTCTCTCACACCAGAAGCGACTTGCACTTTCTCAAGTTGCTCCTGACACACAAAATAAGTAACGAAAATGTTAACCTGAAATTGGGAGGGAAAGGGATAGGATTGGCCCCGAGAGTTAGGACGGGATCTAAAATAAGGGAATGGATTCTCAAACCAGGAGGAAGAAGGATGTGGATGTAGCAGGAAGGCCTTGGATAAGGTCTCCAAAGAAGCTACAACATTGTGGACTACAGCAGGCTAAGCTATTGTTAAGTGGAGAATCAGCTGGCTGCTTAAGTTCCAGTCGTGGAGAGTCTACTGTAGTGTATATCCCTTTGATGTCGAGCACCCCCCCCCCAAAATTAGGGATAGTGACTTATAGTTCTGCAAAGGGCAAGGGCACCAGACTACACAACAAGGGTTAAGTCTTGGTCACATTGCCAAGGCACCGACAACAACAAGGACCCCACGAGGCTTTTAGGAAATGGCTGGATCTTGGGACTTCTGCCCTTTGTGAGAGTTGTAGTTTCCAAAAGCGTGCATCAGTTGCAGCACAGCTGGGGTTTCATCTGCCAGCCTTCACAATGACCATGGACTCTCTGCCTGCATGTCTTGGACTTCAGTACATACTATCTCCCTCATGAACTTTCCTCAAAGACCTTTTAAAACATTGGACTTCAGGCTTCTTCATGAAAATTAATCCTCTTATTAAATATACTTGGAATGTGGGACAAAGATGGGGTTTTGTTGCTATGAAATGCTTATGATTTGAATGTATGTATCTTGCTATGAAATATTGCCTTTCCCCTTTGCCTTTTGCCCTAGAAAATGTGACCCAGGACTGTTGAAATGCTTGAGGGAGAACCACCACCTCCCTTGAAACTTATTTGATTATTTCACCTCTGCATGGACAATAGCAAGCTGAAACTTCCTCTTGTTTGCTTTGTCTGGCAGGCAAGGAAGTTTATCTGGACACTTTGATTGAATCACAAAGGGCAGGGTTGATCCCCCCCCCCCCCGAGGTCCCCTGCCCTGATCCTGTTTGTTTTCCTTCACCAAAACCCATCAAGGGCAGGAAAACCTTTCTTAATGAAATCAACCTTTGCTGGACAAAACAATGCCCCTCTTCCGTCCTGCCTCCCTCTCCCTGATTTGCTAAGGAGCCAGAGAGGGAGGGAGTTTTGAAACTTTCAAACCTGTACTTTCTCTATAAAAATGCCAGTAAAATTCTGTATTGCTATGCTTGTAGTGGAACTATTCCTACAATGCATCCGATCTCAGCTGAATCGCTAATAAAGACACCTCGGTGCCACTTCTTCGCCTTGGCAAGAGTCTCACTTCAATTATTAATATCAATAAAATTGCTGGAATCATAGAATCATAGAATCATAGAATCAAAGAGTTGGAAGAGACCTCATGGGCCATCCAGTCCAACCCCCTGCCAAGAAGCAGGAATATTGCATTCAAATCACCCCTGACAGATGGCCATCCAGCCTCTGTTTAAAAGCTTCCAAAGAAGGAGCCTCCACCACACTCCGGGGCAGAGAGTTCCACTGCTGAACAGCTCTCACAAGTCAGGAAGTTCTTCCTCATGTTCAGATGGAATCTCCTTTCTTGTAGTTTGAAGCCATTGTCCCGTCCTAGTCTCCAGGGCAGCAGAAAACAAGCTTGCTCCCTCCTCCCTGTGGCTTCCTCTCACATATTATACATGGCTATCATCATGTCTCCTCTCAGCCTTCTCTTCTTCAGGCTAAACATGCCCAGCTCCTTAAGCGACTCCTCATAGGGCTTGTTCTCCAAACCCTTGATCATTTTAGTCGCGCTCCTCTGGACACATTCCAGCTTGTCAATATCTCTCTTGAATTGTGGTGCCCAGAACTGGACACAATATTCCAGATGTGGTCTAACCAAAACAGAATAGAGGGGTAGCATTACTTCCCTAGACACTATGCTCCTATTGATGCAGGCCAAAATCCCATTGGCTTTTTTTGCCGCCACATCACATTGTTGGCTCATGTTTAACTTGTTGTCCACGAGGACTCCAAGATCTTTTTCACACGTACTGCTCTCGAGCCAGGCATTGTCCCCCATTCTGTCTCTTTGCATTTCGTTTTTCCTGCCAAAGTGGAGTATCTTGCATTTGTCCCTGTTGAACTTCATTTTGTTAGTTCCCTGAAGGCTTGCCAAGGTAGCGTTCCCTCTTTGGTGGGAACTAAGGGTCATCTCTCCTTGGAGTTGACCCCCCTAAAGTCTAGTTCGACTTCACCTTTCCTCCCCAGATAACCAAAATATAAGATGCCTCTTTTAGTAAAGACTTAACTAGACACATGCTTTGTATATAAAGGCGTGTTATTTGTTTATCTTTGCTGCCTTACATCTATTTTAGTACTGATGGGAAACATATTCTCTTTTTTCACAGCGAAGCCGGGCAAAGATGCAAAAGACGCCAAAGAAAAAGATGAAGAAGAATCAGCATGTATGGAGATGTTATAGACATTCAAGTGGTCCACTGAACTTCTTGGAATGTACTAGAAAGGGAAATTGGCAAAGGAGCTGAAAACAGACATGGTTTGTGGGGAAGGCAGGAGTGAGGAAGAAGCGCTGCAAAAAATAAAAGTCCAGGAGATTCAGGGTGCATCTACACTGTATAATGAATGCAGTTTGATACCACTTTGTGTGCCGTAGCTCCATGCTATGGAATCCTGGCCCAAAATCCCAAAGTGGCCTAAAAGTCACTAACGAATGTCTATACGACATACGGGGTCCATAATGCCAGATTAAACCAGGGTTAGCCCTATAGTAAGAAATATCAGGGAATGCTCCGGAATTTCAGCAAAGACATGTTGGTGCTTCTCTATAGATGACAGATAGATGTAGTTTCTGGTTGCTTGAGAATTACTTTAAAAAAAAAAGCTTAACCAATAGGTGTTACTGGGATATACCTGCTTGACCCCACAACCATTGTTTTATGAGGTCCGCAGGGCTCAATACTTTCCCCCACGCTGTTTAACATCTCTATCAGTGGTCCTCAACCTTCCTAATGCCGCGACCCCTTAGTACAGGTTCCCACGTTGTGGTGAACCCCAACCATAATGTTATTTTCGTTGCTACTTCTTTAATTTTGCTACTGTTGTGAACCGTAATATAAATATCTGATATGCAGGATGTATTTTCATTCACTGGACCAAATTTGGCACAAATACCCGAAACGCCCAAATTTGAATACTGGTGGGGTTGGAGGGGATTGATTTTGTCATTTGGGAATGTTGGAATTGCTGGGATTTATAGTTCACCTAAAATCAAAGAGCCTTTTGAACTCATCAATGATGGAATTGAATCAAATTTGGCACGCAGAATTCCCATGGTCAAGAGAAATACTGGGAGAGTCTGGTGGACACTGACCTTGAGTTTTTGGAGTTGTAGTTCACCTATATCCATAGAACACTGTGGACTCAAACAATGATGGATCTGGACCAAACTTGGCACAGATAATCAATATACCCAAATGTGAACACTGGTAGAGTTTGGAGAAAATAGACCTTGCTATTTGGGAGTTGTAGTTGCTGGGATTCATAGTTCACCCACAATCAAATAGCATTTTGAACCCCACCAATGATAGAATTGGACCAAACTTCCCATGATAAAGAGAAAATACTATGATCTATATGATCATAGTATCATATGATCTATATGAAGCTGTTTGGGGAGATCATCCAGAGTTTTGGAGTTCGATGTCACCTCTACACAGATGATGTTCAACTCTATCACCTGCTACTAAGGAGGCTGTTCAGGTCCTGAACCGATGTTTGGCAGCTGTGATGGTCTGGATGAGGGCAAACAAATTGAAATTGAATCCAGACAAGGCAGACGTCCTTCTGGTCAGTCAAAAGGCCAAACAGGATATAGGGTTACAGCCTGTGTTAGACAGGGTTACACTCCCTCTGAAGATACAAGTACGCAGTTCGGGAGTGATCCTGGACTCTTCCCTGAGCCTGGAACCCCAGGTCTCCGCGGTGGCCAGAGGAGCTTTTGCACAATTAAAACTTGTGCACCAGCTGCACCTGTATCTTGAGAAGTCTGACTTGGCCACGGTGGTCCATGCTCTGTTTACATCCCATATTGATTACTGCAATGTGTTCTGCGTGGGGTTGCCATTGAAGACTGCTCAGAAGCTACTCCTTTCCCTTTCTTTGCTCTTTTCCCTTTCTTTGTGCATGTGCCATAAAGCCACAATGTCGTCTTTTATTGCTGTGAGCATGCGTCATAAAGCCATGATGTCAGTGCTAGCTAACACTGTTCAATGGAGAAAACGTTGCGGGCCTGAAAATAGCTGTTCTTTTATGATTTTGGGGTGCTGAAAATGAAAATGACATTTAAAAATGTATATTGGCTCTAGTTTTTATGATATAAGCAATCACGTATGGTTGAAAAAATGCATGTTGCGATCACTCCAACAACTACCATGTCAGACTACACAGAGAACCCACTGAAATCCACAAGAAGCATGTGGACAATTTCAACAGAAAGGAGGAAACCATGAAAATGAACAAAATCTGGCTACCAGTATTAAAAAACTCTAAAATTAGAACAGCACAACAACAGAGAGGAAACAAACAAGGACATCTAATCACCTCTCAACAAAAGATTGCTCCAGGCACTGCCAGGCAATCAAATGCTAATCAAGGTGGTCAGTTGAAACATTCACACCTAGCTCCAGCAGACAAGAGTCCTTTGTCCCACCCTGGTCATTCCACAGATATATAAACCATTTTTCCTAGTTCCAACAGACCTCACTACCTCTGAGGATGCTTGCCATAGATGCAGGCGAAACGTCAGGAGAGAATGCCTCTAGAACATGGCCATATAGCCCAAAAAAACCTACAACAACCCAGTGATTCCGGCCATGAAAGCCTTTGACAATACAATACACAGTGTTGTTTGTAAATCAAAGCAACGATTAATACACATTATGCAATTATTGTAATGTACACTTGTTAAGCTGTTATCGTTAGCAAATAGCACAGAATTTAATTATTCCAACCGATGTCTCTTCAGTACTGTGTGGACACATGATTCAGTGTGAGAGTCGTGAGATTTCCGCTCCTGATTGTTCTTGCTTTTTTCTTTCTTCTTTCCCTGAAGTGGATAAGAAAATGCAACAATTTGAAGAATTCCTTTACACAGCCAAGGCATTTCAGATGGCTGCCACGTTTGTCTTTTTCATCTATCTCCTCGCATTTGTATTTCTTTTTCTGGGTATGCTTATTGTTTCATTGATTTTTACATTTGCAGTGTTCCCTCACTTATTGTGGGTGTTATGTTCCAGGACCATCCGCGGCAAGTGAAAGTCCTCTAAGTAGGGACGCTATATTTACTTTAGTAGTTATACACTACTAGCTGTGCCCTGCCATGCGTTGCTGTGGCCTATAGGTGTCATTGGGTGACACTTGTTCGGCTCCACAACCGTTGTTGTGTGGAGTCCCACAAGGTTCAATCTTGTCCCCGATGTTATTTAACATCTACATGAAGCCGCTGGGGGAGATCATTCGGAGTTTCGGAATGAGATGTTATCTCTATGCAGATGATGTCCAAATCTGTCTCTCCTTCTCCCCTGTCACCAAGGAGGCCGTCCAGACCTTGAATCGGTGCTTGGCTGCTGTGTCGGACTGGATGAGAGCTAACAAATTGAAATTGAATCCAGACAAGACAGAGGTCCTACTGGTCAGTCGTAAGGCCGAACAGGGTATAGGGTTACAGCCTGTGTTAGACGGGGTTACACTCCCCCTGAAGACGCAGGTTCGCAGCTTGGGAGTGATCCTGGACTCATCGCTGAGCCTGGAACCCCAGGTCTCGGCGGTGGCCGGGAGAGCTTTTGCACAATTAAAACTTGTGCGCCAGCTGCGCCCGTACCTTGGGAAGTCGGATCTGGCCACGGTGGTCCACGCTCTTGTTACATCCCGGATAGATTACTGCAACGCACTCTACGTGGGGTTGCCTTTGAAGACTGTTCGGAAACATCAATTAGTCCAGCGGGAGGCAGCCAGGTTGCTCACCGGAGCGTCATACAGGGAGCATACCACCCCCTGTTGTGTCAGCTCCACTAGCTGCCGATCCAGTTCCGAGCACAATTCAAAGTGCTGGTCTCGGCCTATAAAGCCCTATACGGTTCTGGCCCAGCGTATCTGTCCGAACGCATCTCCCTCTAAAAGTGTGTCAATCGCTACTACGACACATGCATCACATTCTGGGATGGGCCCCGGATATGCGTGTACGCCGTGTTGTGCGCAATGTCACGACCACACTACTGCAATTGCTCTCGCGTATCTGTCCGAACGCATCTCCCTTTACGTCCCATCTCGGAGTCTGAGATCCTCTGGGGAGGCCCTGCTCTCGACCCCGCCTCTGTCACAAGTGAGATTGGCGGGGACGAGGAGCAGGGCCTTCTCAGTGGTGGCCCCTCACCTATGGAATTCACTCCCCGGGGATATCAGATCAGCAACATCCCTCCTTTCATTCAGAAAGAAATTGAAGACGTGGATGTGGGACCAGGCGTTTGGGCACTCTGGCAGTTGAATAAGGGACTGTGATGATGGATAGGAGTTGGACAAGGTGGAACGAAATATGAACTCTGAGTTGGTGAACGCTGTGTCTGAGATTGGCTATTGATTGTGTGATATACTGTTGTTTTTAAGTGTTTTAATTGTTGACTATTTAATTGCTGGTTTTATATGTTATTGTATTTGTGTAGGCACCAAGATGTGCCTTTCGTAAGCCGCCCTGAGTCCCCCCTCGGGGATTGAGAAGGGCGGGGTATAAGCACACGAAATAAATAAATAAAATAAATATAGTAAAACTTATCAAAGTTGAGGTAGATATCTGGACTATTATGAAAGAGAGGTCCCTACCTATTCCTTCCCCCTTTTCCTCCCCCTTTCTCTCCTTTCTTCCTTCTCTACCTCTTTCTTTCTTTCCTTCTTTCACTACTTGGTTTCATCCTTCTCTCTTTCCTTCATTCCCTCCCCCTTTCTTCCTTTGCCTTTCTTCCCTCCCTGTTTGCTTCCTTCTTTCACTTTTTATTTCCTTTTATTTCACCACCATCATAACAATAATAATAATGCAATGCATTGCCTCTGGGACCTGACACCTCTCCCATTCCCCCTAAAAGGGTCTCATAGGAATAATAGCATAATAATAATAGAAATAACAACCTTTACCCGCCACGTGTTGCTGTGGCCAACCTTCCCTCTTTCTCTCCTTCTTTCCCTCCCTTCCTTCCTTCCCTCCCATCTTTCCTTCTCCTCTTCCTTCTCTATCTCTTTCCTTCCTTCCCCCTTTTTCTTTCTCTTCTGGTCTCTTTTCTTCCTTCTCTCTTTCCTTCTTTCCTTCCCTCCCTCTTTCTCTACATCTTCCCCCTTCCTTCACTCCCTCTTTCCTTCCTTCATTCCCTTTTTTCTTCTCTCCTTCCTTCCTTCCCCCTTTTTCTTTCTCTTCTGGTCTCTTTTCTTCCTTCTCTCTTTCCTTCTTTCCTTCCCTCCCTCTTTCTCTACATCTTCGCCCTTCCTTCACTCCCTCTTTCCTTCCTTCATTCCCTTTTTTCTTTCCTTCTCTCCTTCCTTCCTTCCCCCTTTTTCTTTCCTCCCTCTGTCTCTCATTTCTTCCTTCTCTACCTCTTTCCTTCCTTCCCCCTTTTTCTTTCTCTTCTGCTGTCTCTCTTTTCTTTCCTTCCATCTTTCCTTTTCTTTCCTTTTCTTCTTCCTTCTTTCTCTAACTTTCCTTCCTTCCCCCCTTTTTCTTTACCTCCCTTTCTCTTTCTTCCTTCTTTCCTTCCTTCCTGTCTTTCCTGGATTTTGAC